GAAAATGCAATAAAATAGTCTGCCTAAGAAAAATTGAATTATTTTGAAAATTTTTTTTTGACGAAAATCGCTGTAATGGTCATAAAAATGGTGTTCCTCTACTCGGATCGGGCTGTCAATTTTTTTCTACACTTTTAGGTGTATTTTGTGCAAGAAAATGCAATAAAATAGTCTGCCTAAGAAAAATTGAATTATTTTGAAAATTTTTTTTTGACGAAAATCGCTTTAATGGTCATAAAAATGGTGTTCCTCTACTCGGATCGGGCTGTCAATTTTTTTCTACACTTTTAGGTGTATTTTGTGCAAGAAAATGCAATAAAATAGTCTGCCTAAGAAAAATTGAATTATTTTGAAAATTTTTTTTTTACGAAAATCGCTTTAATGGTCATAAAAATGGTGTTCCTCTACTCGGATCGAGCTGTCAATTTTTTTCTACACTTTTAGGTGTATTTTGTGCAAGAAAATGCAATAAAATAGTCTGCCTAAGAAAAATTGAATTATTTTGAAAATTTTTTTTTGACGAAAATCCCTTTAATGGTCATAAAAATGGTGTTCCTCTACTCGGATCGGGCTGTCAATTTTTTTCTACACTTTTAGGTGTATTTTGTGCAAGAAAATGCAATAAAATAGTCTGCCTAAGAAAAATTGAATTATTTTGCAAATTTTTTTTTGACGAAAATCGCTGTAATGGTCATAAAAATGGTGTTCCTCTACTCGGATCGGGCTGTCAATTTTTTTCTACACTTTTAGGTGTATTTTGTGCAAGAAAATGCAATAAAATAGTCTGCCTAAGAAAAATTGAATTATTTTGAAAATTTTTTTTTGACGAAAATCGCTTTAATGGTCATAAAAATGGTGTTCCTCTACTCGGATCGGGCTGTCAATTTTTTTCTACACTTTTAGGTGTATTTTTTGTAAAGAATTGCAATGAAATTGTATAAGAAAGTTGACCCATGGATTGTTGTTTTTTATAGGTCATTGCAACAAAAAATAAATGTCCCTTTTTCTTAGGGCAATCAGTGAATTGTAAATTAATTGAACTATAACTAAAAGCACTAATTAATTAAGTGCACGCGGTTTGAGAGTCGTGAGAATAGTTCAAGATGAAAGTGCGCGGATTCACCGTAATTGCAATTTGCTAATAAAGATTTTAAGTATATAAAATCGATATGTGTCGTTTATATATACATATTTAAATCTCTGCACAAATGCACATTGAAGGTCAGTGACCTAGTCCTTGACAAGAATACGATTTGCGGTCAAGATATATCTGATTTTCCTGATTAGAATTGCGTCGACACGCAACTTTGCTAATAGACGATTGTATATACATATATATATTTATATATATAAGTAAAAGGCATTTGCAATTGCCGCGCGCGCGAGAAATCAGAAAACCATAACTTCCCTTGCTCTTACCAAGGAAGTTGTATTCAGATGTCGAGAAAAAAAACTAAGTAACTATCATCCACGATTTTAGATAATGGGATAGGAGAAAAATTTCATGAAATCTAAGACGCTGTAACTATGAAATTCTCTGAATGTTTCTTCAAATCCTCATTATAATAATAGTTCAACGATAATTTTTGCCTTTAACTGTTTGTTTTGTATTTTACAATTGTTATTTTTCTCATATAGCAGCAGGAAATAATAATAATAATAATAATAATAATAATAATAATAATAATAATAATAATAGTTGACACCTATTTTAACAGAAGACTCGAGTTCGATTCTCTGCAACTTTGGATTTTTTTCTTATTTTAAATAATTATAAATATAATTATTATAAGATATAATCTATAAATGTTGGAAATAATACTAAAAATACTAAAAACAAATTATAATTGTATTCTTATTTTAAGAGTAAAATAAATTGATGTAGGAAATAAAATATTTGAAAAAAAAATATTTATTCTAAATTTGAGAATATAATTTTTTTTAATGCAACTACATAATATATATCTCAAGAATGTAACTATATAGACAATAGATTATTCGTGAGTATCTAATGTAAGAAAATAGTTGTTTATTTATAAAGGCAGTAAAAAAGACACATATTGTCATGTAAGAGACTAATGACTGATTTTAATGCAGATCAATATCTAAAATGGAAAAGATTATCTTGAGCGGGACATAAAGACGAAAAATGTAACCAATAACGAGTTGTTAGTTGTATACATGCAATGTTCATTGGAAGTTATACTATTCATTGAATATACTGATAAAATATACGTTCGTTCTTCCTATATTCGTTTCGATGTAACGAGACAAATGTATTTTACTCTTAATTGATACTTATCTCGTCTGCTCAAAATTATCTATAATATGAGCTCAAGTGTTATCCTTGCAAAAAAAAAAAAAAAAAAACGATATTCTAAGATTAAGAATATAATATCTTGACTACTATTTAAAAATATATCTCATGAAATTTATTCTTACTGTTAGAATATAATATTCGAAAAATAAAAGGATAATGCGTTCTCAAAATACAAATAATATTCTCAAAACAAGAATGTTTTTAAAATAGAATAAACACTCTTAAAATGAGAATAATATTTTTTATTGGCTCAAAAAATTTTTTTATTTAAACGAAATAAAATAGATTTGCAGCAAATAAATGAGTTAGTAGGCTCGGAGACAAATATATAATTTCTCTGAGCCTATTCCATCAAAAAATTAAAAAAAAGAGATTAAAAAAATCAAAAAGAATGTCAAACATAAAATTTTGTTTTTTTTTTTTAATGTTAGGTATTATTTATTTTATCGAGGAACAAAAATTCAAACTTTCACTCTGCACTTCACGAAATCAATCGTTCGATCTAGATCCGAGTTTTATCGACCTAAATATGATTTGTCATATAAGTAGTAGCACACCACCTTGACTGTCACTCAATACATAATGGATATTTTTTTTTTTAAACGAATGTGTGAGAATTATTTCATAATAATTCTACTATTTTTTTTATGCATATACAATAAAACATTCTAAGTCGAATTAATACTATTTTTTTCATATTCCCTGTATGTATTTTTTTAAAATAAAAAAAAGAGAGAGAAAATGTTAATCAGTAACTTTCTTATTAAGATTTTTGTCTTTCCTTATAATATTTATTTTTATATTTTACATATATATAACGTAAATATATTTATTGAGCGTCTTCGGAAACGCATTCTGATGTGAAATGAATGTCAAAGTAAATTTATTCTCGTTTGCCGTTGAAATTTTTTGCAATTTCAGTATTTTGGACGAAAAGAAGAAGAAGAAAAAAAATAGAAGATAATATATCCCACGCTCATAACGGTCACGTTTAGAAATTATGCATTCGCGCGTATATTTACATTTTTAATAGGTATATAGTTACCGATCAATTTGTACTTTTAATTTTTCGAATTGATTATAATTAAAATGTAAAATTTTGCTCAAAATCGAAAGTGTTTTTTTTTTCATAACGATAAATAAAATATGTAAATTGCTAAAAATTTGTTTGTAAAAAAAAAAAACAATAGTTTTTTATAAAAAATTTTCTGAAAAACAATTTATTTATAAATAAATAAATAAATAGAAACAGATAAATAAAAATAATTAAATAAATAAAAGCAAATAAAAAATATCTTAAAACGTATTCATTTAAAAAAAATAGCTTTAAAAAATTTCTTATCTAGAACTACATATTTTTTTTTTTTTGAAAAGAATTTTTTTCCTGGACAATAAAAGAAATGTAACTAAAATAACGACCTTTAGAGAAGATAGACTTTTTTTGGGGAAACCCCAATTTTTTGAAAGAAGATTGAACTTTCATCAAAAATAGATTTAAAAATACTCTTCATAAGAAATTATAATAGAGAAATTTTGAGTATAAAGAAAAGGTCATTTTACATACATTTTAGTGTCACACTGATTACCTAGTAACATTAATATAATTATATCAGAGTATGATGCAAGAATATGCATTTGTTTCCTAATAAACCTGTTAACCCTGACTTCTGTCCTGAACAAAGAATATATATATATAATATTTTAGGATCAATTTCTAAAATCAATTGTCCTCTTAAAATATTATTTTGTTAAAATATTCTCAAATTAAGAATAAATTCTATAGACAATTATCAATTGTCAATTCATTATATTATATTCTCAAGATAAAAATATATTTTATATAAAAGAAAATTATAATTTTAATTATTATTAATTTTTCAAATTATATTTTGTAATCTATTTTATTTTACATTTATATTTTATCTCATTTTTATTTTTCCAATTTGTTTATGATTATCTGACTGTTTATAAAAAATTTGTTTCTGTTTTATTTTTCACTAATAGTGTCTCCTAATGACAGCAAAATTTCTTACTTTAATTAAAGGAAGAAAAAAAAATTATATTGCTAATAATTATTACATTTGTTTCAATTTCAAGTCTAATGATCCATTAGTTACATGCAAAAACATGATTGATCTTTTAATTACTTTTTTAAATAAATAAAATAAATGATCCGTTAAGAAAAAATGCAAAATAAATGATAGTCAATTAAAAAAAAATTTTTTAGGTCACTGATTCGATAATAATAATAACAATTATTAATATTATTACTATTATTATTATTATTATTATTTTATTGTAATATGCGTAAAATAATTGTCAATTAATTTTCAAATGTGAAATGAAAACAATTGAAATATAATTTTCTATTCAATAAAATAAAAAAAAAAATTAACGAAGCATTAAATCGTAAATTTAATTCTTTTTTTTGTGCAAGACGCAAAGATGAGAGATTTATCTCGAAATGATGTCGATTATTGGGACATTTATCCTGCACCATAAATATAAGTTATATGACCAGTTTATATATATATATATATATATATATACTTCATATAATCGGGGATCAAACGTTATTCCCACATCTCTTATCATATAACTCTATACTAGATTCCAATTTACTTTATTTTTACTTTAAGATTGTATCCGTTTTTTCGCACTCAAGAATCAAGAAACTCACCTTTCCAGAATACTGAGTTTATTAACCTTCACGTCTCTGTTTTTTTTCCCTCACGTATCTGCAACAAATATAGAACAATTTTTAGAATACAATATTTAAAAAAAAAAAAATTGGGGACAACAGAAGAAACAGAATTTCGTTAGAATTTTGAAAAGCAGGATTAAAAAAATATTGTAAATAAGTTATTTAAAAAAATATTGACATTTTTAATCTCAAAATTAGATTACATTTCAGGGCCAAAATAAGTACACTACCTTAAAATTTGTTATATAGGTCAAGAAACAACTGGGTTTGAGGTTAAAACTACCAAACATAACCTTAAAATTAGGTTAAAGTTCAGGACCAAGATACGAACATAACCTCAAATTAGTATGATTTTTATTTAATTAAAAAAAAAAAATATTTAATAGTCCTTTTTCTTATTGCCCTTCGAAATTGTAGTGAGACTTTTATTTATTTTTTTTTTTTGTCCCCTCAACCAAACTCAAGTTACTGTTAATCTGTTAGCGCTTCTGAAAGACACGTTACTGCGGTTATCAGACAAATATTATTCTCAACTCGTACCGTTTTACCCACATTTTAAATATAATACGATACTAACGTATTTAGCCTAAATTTCAATGCTGACAGTGGATTTTCAATCTGACCATGGAACGGTCGTCGTTTTGTTAGTAATGTTTTACACGGTCGTGTAAAGTAATAATAATTCACAAGTTTGCCTCGTCCCAGAGGAATGCCAATTTCTCCTTTTTCTATATATATATATATATATATATATATATATATATGTATAAGCAAGACAATAATGATTTTTTTTCGTATTCAAATGAAAAAAAAAAACTGACCAAAATTTTGTTAAAACTTCTCAAAAGAAAAAATTGACGCTCTAATTTCGCTCTTTCTTTTAAGTTCCAAAATTTAAATTTAGAAAAAAATTTCTTTTGAAAACAATTTATATGTTACAATTTTTTACTAATTCAAATTTTGTTCTTTTTATTTATTTTGTTATTTATTATTACCTATTTATTTATTATTTTAAATAAAAAATAAAAAGTTTTATTGCTTGAAATAAAATTTGAAAATTATTGATAATCAAAATTGCCACTGCTCCACATTCATATATATTGATTTTAGTCAAAGTAATAAGAGAACTGACCTACAATTATGATTATTATCATCTAAAAATACATTTTCATTGAAAAATTTACAAAAAAAAAAAAAAAAAAAAATATTTTTTCTTAAAGTTCAATATTTGCTTTCTATTGCATCGTGAATAATTTTCAAAAGAAGTACCTTCAAGTGCGTTAGAGAAAAAAAAAATTTTTACAAGTACTTTACGTAGAACAAGTTTTTTTTTGTCATTATTTTTCAAGCATTAGTTTCGTCACGATTGGTTATTAGTTTGTGATAGAGCAATTACCACTAATTTGCAATTAGGACAATGTTCTAAAAAAAATGTGAAATTCAATAAATTTTACATTTGACTTTTTTTTCCATTTGATCTGATTTAGTGATTCTTGTTACAGCAACAAAATATTATGACAAAACACTATAGCGTATTAAAAAAAAAACAGTCTTTCAATCTTCTATTGATATTTCCATTTTAGGAGATAACTATAATTTGTCCTCCATTATTATCATACTCTGTGACGCTCGAGGAACGACAAATAATAAAAAAATACTGTTTTTTTTTAAAATAAAATAAAAAATTAACAATTAGCATTAGCAATAAGCAAAAAATTTTTTTTTATAATAATTTTACGATACACAGCGAATAAAAATGAAAAATTCATCAAATTTGGAGAAAATTGGAAACTGCGTTTTTAGGATCACTAAATTCGAATACTTAATTAAAATTGCAAAATTCAAAATGGCGGATCCAATATGGCGGAAGATTTTTTTGCTCTAAAATGATCGAAATCGCTTCAAAATTTATAATTCAGGGGTTTTCGTGGTCGTTGAATTTGAATTCATTGTCAAAAATGCAAAATTCAAAATGGCGGATTCAAAATGGTGGATTTTATAAAAATAAGTTTTTTTTTTTTAAAGGAAAATCAAATTTCTTGTAGATTTTTCAAATTGTAAAATATTTATTGATATAAATATTGAAAAATTCAATTAAAATTCCATCAATAGATTGAATTAAGTAATTTTAGATAATTTTGGGTTTCATTAAATATTTAGATCCGGTATATATAAGGAAAATGTGTGAATCGCCTGCGGAACATAGATTTTATAATTATTGCGGCATGTTAACGTATATCCACGTGGATGACGGTGATGTCGCTTTCACTCTAGTTCGTGTGTCTTATAAATGTATAACTCATAAGAGGTGAGAATATACTCTTATTTTATGTATATATCCACCAATCATAAAGTCGTTCTCTCAATAACGGTTTTAGAGTACAAAAAATTTCTATGATTTTATGTTGATTTTCTATTTCTTATTATTATTTCTACTTCCGTAATATATTATAATATTTATAATCGAGAATTAAAAATAGAAAAAAGTCGGAACTGTTTTTTTTTTTCAAATTCCAAACACGGAAAATAAATTTTATAATATGTATATAATCGATTACTTGACTATTATAAAAAAGAGAATAATAATTATCTGATATAAAAAGAATAATTATTTGCATTTTATTATTTGATATTTATTACAAATATATTTGAAACCAATATTATCAATTTATTGAAAATAGTTTTGTTTGATTTAAAATAGAATAATTCGCTTCATTTATAAAAATAGTCAAGTAAATTGATTATATTTAAATGAAATAAATCATTTTTTTTAGTACGTAATTATATAGTTTCATCAACAACAAAAACTATTGTATATTATTATAATTTTATTGATAAGAATTTCACATTGTAATATTATAAATGTGGAACGCACACGCATATTTATATATAGTACGTAGAAGGTAAACTGTTTGCAATTATTACAAATATCTTTCATGAATATTCAACAGCTACAAATTGCTTCTAATTTTACTTTTGCGAGATCGTTTGTCACTTTCAATTTTAAGATATTTGTGGTGATTACATATAAGGTTAATTAAGGATAATTTGAAATATGCATCATTTATTCTAATACGGAATGGGAAAGTTTATTCACTTTTTTTTTTTTTTAATGAAAAATTTGTTAAAATTTACTTTCAATTTTCTAAAGATATTGTTATGTGTAACAAACATAACCTTAAAATTCAACGCTGGGTTTAAAATTAAAACTTCAGGCCCAAAATATGAATATAACCTCGAAATTAAATTAAAGTTTCGGCTCAAGATACGAACATAACCTCAAAATTCAAAATTCTAAGTCAAGAGAACGCTAAATTTGAAGTTAAAACTACTCAAAGACCAAAATACGCACATAACCTTAAAATTCAGTCCTAGGCCAAAAGACCGTTGGGTTTGAGGTTAAGGAAAATCAAACATAACCTCAAAATTCTTATAAACAATATGCTGTATTTAATTGACTGATGATTGATTAAAATGATTATTGAACCCTGATTTCAATTGAAAAAATTAAAAATAATAATAATCCTGTACAAACTGTTTTGATGAGTGGTATGCATATAACTCGATAATCCGGTTTCATATATATGTATATAAGAAAAGGTCGATTGATAGAACCAGTTCCATCACTGTCATTCATAACGCAATAGACTTTACAACTTGAATCGATATCACTTTGGAATTCGAGCTATTAGGAAATTTAATCTCTTTTTTGGCAGAACTAACGTAATCATATTGAAGGTCGAAAAAAAGTGAATGGAACCGTGTTTATGTATTCCCTATATACATATAATCAAACGAATATAAAAAACTGTCAAAAATATAGTCTTTTGAACGTGAATCGAAAGTGATTTGATTTTTTTTTTTTCTATTATATGACTCAATAATATGTAGATTATCATATTTTCATCGTTTGAAAAATTAACATATCAATTAATTTCGTTTAAAACTATCTTTTATTTTTTTCTACTGTTACACCGTCCGACACAATTTTTGACCCACAAAAAAATTTAACATTTTCGGAAACTAGGACCCAAAAAGAAAGACCCGCATCTGGCCGTTTTGCTAGATCAAGTCGTTTGTAGTTTTTAGGGGTGAAAACAACCCCTAAATGAAAAAGGACATGATATCTTTTAAAAATTATTAATATTTTATAAAACTTGGTATCTGGGGGTTTTCGGGGTCACTGATTATTAATCTGATGTCAGATTTTCAAAATTCAAAATGGCGGATCCAATATGGCGATCAAATTTTTAAAAAGTTATTTATTTTTTATTTTATATCCGCCATTTTGAATTTTGACAATTTAACATCAGATTCGTCATCAACGACCCAAAAAACCCATAGATACCAAGGTTATAAAAAAAAATTTAATAACTTTTTAAAATTTTGACCACCATATTGAATCCGCCATTTTGAATTTTGAAAATCTGACATCAGATTAATAATCAGCGACCCCGAAAACCGCCAGATACCAAGTTTTATAAAATATTAATAATTTTTAAAAGATATCTTGTCACTTTTTATTTAGAGGCTGTTTTCACCCCTAAAAACCACAAATGACTTGATCTAGAAAAACGGTCAGACACGGGTATTTTTTTTGGGTCCTAGTTTCCAAAAATGTTGGATTTTTTTGTGGGTCAAAAAAAAAAGTTGAATTTTGTCGGACGGTGTTATAGATATTTAGCAAAAATAGAAAATTTCAAAAATACAAGTATCTGAAACTAAACCAAGAAAAAAAATTTCTTTGACAAATTTTTCTTTGATTCAAAAAAAAAAAAATTATCTTCGTTTCAAAAAAATTTTTTATTTAATTCAAAATAATTGTTTCTTTGACCCTATAAATATCAATGTTAGAATTTCTTTAATTTAATGCACAAATTTCTTTAATTCAAAGAAAATTTTATTTTCAATTAAAGAAAACAAATCAAAGAAATTTATTTATTAATTTATTTTTTATTTTATTTTTATTTTACTTTTTTAATCAATTACTTATTTTTATGCTCTCGATTTTATAAAATGTATAATATGCAATCACTTTAGATGAAAAATAAATCCTCTTTATAGGTACTTTCTGCTTGTAAAATAACCGGGTTACGTCAAATAAATCAATTTTTACACTTTTAATATAAATATATATATGTATATAAAAACTTATATATATATATGAATTATGAATAATGTCCGTCTCAGAATACACAAATATACACATGCAAAGTCATCAATGATCAACTAAACAATAGTTCATTACAAGCCATTGGGGTCATGAGTTTAATGACACACAAGGAATCATTGTTTTGTGTTTAGAAAATATTTCATTTTTTTTTCATATATAAATAATGGTTTTTAAATACACAAATTTTTAGAAACAAGAAGAAATATCGTTAAACAGTTTATATTAAAAAAAAAGATTTTTAATATTCAAATTAATTTTTTACTATTATATTTATTTTTCTTATATATTTTCAAATTGTTTTTATGTTAATAATAATGATAATAATAATAATAATAATAGTAATAATAACAATTTTTTATTTTTAAAAAAGGATTAAAATTTAAGTACTAAAAATTTTGTTTAAAAAGAAAATTTTAAAGTGATAAAATAATTTTCATCATAAGTAAAAGTACCTTAGACTAAAAGAATCTTTCGATTGTAAGTAATAATAATTGATCTATAATTATCATACAGACTGTATAGTAAATTATATTCATATTGATGCAAAAATGACGAGTTTTCTATAAGTTCAGTAGAAGGATAAACAGGTTTGTAACTGCACTTTTTTTCCCCTGTCACATCATCATTTATATATTAAAAGTAAAATGTCTAACATCTTTTACAAGATTTATCTCATTGAATCGTCATCAACTGAAATTAGTGTAGTAAAATTTTTTTTCTAACCAAATTTTTGCAAATCCGTTTTTCATAATTGAAAACATATTTACAATTAAAAAAAAATACAATAATTGTAAAACAAAAAATTTACAATAAGTGTAATAAAAAAAATTGTAGTAACAATAACAATGATGAAGTAATATTTATAAACAATAACATAAATAGAAAAAAAAATGTAATAAGGTTCATCATTATCATCGTTAAACCATATTGATCATTCAAGAAATCATTAGTCAAAAATACAAAGTGTACATATATGAATCTTTGAGAATATTTTTTCAAATCATTGCAAAATCATGAAGACTATTAAAGAACAATGAACATAATTGAAACCCATTAAACTACTATAACAATTATTAAAAGCTATTAAACTACCATGAGACTTATCATAAGATCATAAGATTGTATATTAAAATTAGAAATTCCAACGAATGATTCAATTATACGAATGATTGCAATATCCCTGTATATATATGAGTGGAAATTTTTTTTTTTTTTTATTCTGGCAAAACTGAAATGTCAAACAAAAAAGAAGAAGACAAAACCGAGAAAATCTAACTGTAATGAAATTTTATTGTATTTTTATTAAACAGAAAATGAAATTGAAATCTCATGTGTTCTTTATTGAAAGAGAAAATTAACATCCAAGTGTTAAGAGTTTATAGAATTTCTAAGGAGTCATTAATTCTTAGAATTCTTTTTATTTTAATAGTCATGAAAAATTTTCAATTTAAAATTTTGACAAATTCGCTAATTAAAAAAACCCCTTTTTATTTTGGATCTACCATTTTGAATTTCGAAAAACGGACATTGGATTCGTAATCAGCGACTTCATAAACTCCCGAGTAACAAGTTTCAAGTGAATTCGATCAATTTTCAAAAAGTCTTCCGCCATTTCGGATCCGCCATTTTGAATTTTTGAAAACTGACGTCAAAAGTTCGTAATCAACGTACTTCTTTCTATCAGAATTAATAAAAAAAAAAAATGGGGAAACCGATTTTTTGAAACTGGAGCCCCTTTTTAAGTGGCTAAGGCAAAAAAATATTTATTAAAAATTAAACTGGCAGCAAGATTAATATTGTTTAAACAAACGTTAATTAACAAATTCATTACACCGTTGTTTTTAGACAAATGATTTTTGTTTTTTTTTTAGTCTCAAAAAACTGATATTTAGTTTGTATTTAAATTAACGTTAAAATTTAACAACTTTTAAAAGTTACTATTATTGTTATTAACAATTTTATAAACAATCTAATTGTTAGTGTTCTTTTCTTTTAATAAAACTAATGAAAATTTTTTTTCCCAATTCACTCATGATTGATTCCTTTTTTTTACCAGATTTACTTAATTTTAAAATCTATATTGTTTAAACAAATCTTAATTAACAAATGTACTGTACAGATGTTTTTAGTCAATTAATTTTTGTTTTTTTACATAGTTCTTTAAATGTAAAATATTTTTCAAAACACTTTTAAAATTTAACAATTATTAATAATTGCTTTTGTTATTAAGATTGTTTAAACAATCGTTAATGTAATCTATTGTTAATTTTAGTCGTTTTATTTTTGTTTTTCTTGCGCATATTTCCTTTAATATAAATGTACGTACGTTTCGAATAAAATTTTTTTTAAAAATTCTAATTTTTATTATTTATTATTATTTCCACGCGTGTGTGTGTGTGTGCATGTATGACGAGGATACGCGGTCTTCCTGACTCTTCGTCTAATTACTAGCCATTCCAGAGTGGCCTATCGTAAAGGCGCTCACGTATGAAAGTACATACGACTACTATATAACGCCACAAGAAGTAAAAGAAGTCAGCGATAGCAATATTCGTGTGGCTTCGCGAGGTAAAGAGGGGTCAAATATGGGAGGAGTTCTCTTCGAGTTTCTATATACACTATATACACGTCGAGAGGAGTAGAGACTGCAAAGAGTAAACCGCGCGGTGGTGGCCTGCTCACCTGAGGTGTTCAGGTGGCAGTCGCCCAGCTGAGTCGCTCAGCGAAGGGCTTGTAACAAGCATTTTATATAGTTTAGTTGCTGCTTTTTAAAAACTACACACTTCAATATTAATTTTCACCCATGTTACAACACAGTTCCACGTGACAAACACCATAAAAAGAAAAAAAAAATAATAATAACCATCGTTTCTTTAAAAAAAATTAATTTTTCTGACAAAAAAAAAAAAATTTTTTTCAACAAGGATTACAATTATTTACATAAAAAAAAGAGAAATTTTTTCACAAAATTTTTTTTTGTGTCCTTAAAGGAGAATATTTTTTCAATCAGGACAATTTTTCTCTTTTTGTTATTTTTCCTAGCAAAAGAGGAAGGCATAGAAAAAGAATATATTTTCTATTTTGAAAGAAAATTTTTTCTCTAGAAAAAAAAAAAAAAAAAAAAAAATTTCTCTCACCTAAGAAAAAAGGAAACATAATTTTTTCTTATGAAAAATTACCATTCACCACGTGAGGATATTTATTTCAAGTTGAGAAACAAAAGTGAAGGTTAATTTGCCGGTTAAATAAAATCTGTATTGGGTTTTGGAAAATGTGATTTCCGATCACGTTGCAATGGCATAGGCAAGAGACACGTGCGTTTTCTTGTATATTTACAAACGATGCTTTAAGTGCAATTTGTGATAATTTGCGGGGAGAAAGAGAAAGAGAAATCGATTAAAGAAAAAAAAAATTTATCGTTAAAAAAAAATTTCAAAAAAAAGTGCTTTTTTTGTTCCGGTGGATTAATATTATTGGCTCAATGAACGGCACATGATATATATATATATGTACACTCTGTGGGAAGAGAAGAAACGAGAGCGAAAGGATAAGTGCGTGTGATGATCGGAGACTTTTTGTGACTCGTGTTTCTTCTTTCTTTTTTTTTTTTTTGTTTTTGTTTTGTGGTCCATTTAATAATCATGATGGGTGAAGCGATACGCGTTTCCGGTAGGGCACCGGATGTGGGTGATTTTCTTAGGGAAGCTATGTTATCACAAAGATTTGCTGATGTTACTCTTTGCTGTCCTGGTGGTCCAAGATTTCTTGCTCATCGTCTCGTTCTTTCTGCCGCTAGTCCATATTTACAGGTAAATTAAATTTTTTTGAATCTATTTCCTATTTTTTAATTTCGATTGTTTTTTTCAAATTGTTTTCTAAATTTGAATTCGCTAACTAATTTAAATTAGTGAAAATTTGCACTAATTTTTAATTATTTTTCACGAATAGTAAAAATATATTATCAAACCAAATTTTACTAAAAAAAAATTAGTGAAAATTACTAATTAAAATTTACAGGATTTTTTGATACTAAAATTTAATAATTAACAATACAAATCAAAACGGAATTTTTCGATTAGTATTTTAGTTTTAACAAATCAATATAAATAAAAAAAAAAGTATATTTTTTTGAAAAAGAAAAAAATAACTAACAACAGAAAAGACGATCGACAATTTGCATAATATGTTTGGTCTTTGATTTTTTTTTATTGATAAGAATGAATTATTTTTTGTTTGATTATCTTGTGCACATTGAATTAGATTTGACAAACGCAAATATCTTTTGTGACTGATGAATGCTGATCACAATTTTGCGAATGAGAAATTTCTAACAGTAAAATTCAACAAGTGAATAAAATAGAACTTCTCAGAATAAAATGGCCACCCACAAAAAAATTTATTATATTTATTCAAATGACTTTTCGTATTTTGATTCTATGAATTTTTTCAAGTATCATCTTCTATCGTTTTGCACACACACACACACACATCAAACTGCTTTATATTTAGTTTCACCAATTGATTATTCAATTAAAAAAAAAAAAAACGTTTGAATATGTACAGTTACAAGACGCGAATAAAGTGATTAATTTGCGAAAAAGTACACAAAGAATAATTTCAACTATTTTTATAGTTCATTTTAGAATTTTTATCATTTTTATAATTACATAATTTAATTACGTATTTTTTTTTTTGTTAATATAGAATTTAATCACTATTTTGATAATTAATTTAAAAAAGAAGAATTTTCTCTTATTTATTTTTTGCAAAACATTTTTTTTTTCCGTCAATTTCAGACTGTAAAAGTTGGCAAATAAAGTTGGAAAAATTTAACTAAACGTATAACATTCCCAAATGAAAGGCTAATTACGGATTAATTCTTTAAAAGGAAATGAGCGCCTTAATTAAATGGCAAACTTGTGACATTTTCTGTTGTGAAAGAAATTCCTCTTATTTTCAATGAGATCTTTAAAAAAAAAGAGAGAGAGAGAAAGAAAAAAAACGACAATTTTCCTTTACACAGAAACTAAAGTATAAACATTGTAATAAACATTATTGTCATGAAATTATGCATATTTTTTTTTCAATATCTCTATATATTGCTGAAAATAATTCTAGGGCACGTGGCACATATAATATATTTCAACAAATCTGCATAATCGTTATCTCTTGACATAATAAGCAATTTATCGAAATATCTACGACTCTATTCTTTACACTCCTACTTGTTTTTTTTTTCCTCGCTCTTTCATAAACCAGTAAATTATTATTTCATTTGGAATTCGGTGAATAAGCTGTCAATATTTCACGAGAGTGCTGACAATGTTCATCGTATTGAGAAAATAAAAAATATTGTATTTTTGTCGTTCGAAGATAGAAATATATAGAGGGAAAAAAATTGCCAATAACATTTAAAAATCACATATTTAATTTTTTTTTTTTTTGAACAATCGTTCGTCACGCCCAGAAGTTACTGGTCCCACAACCTGCCTATTAAGACAGTAAACACAATCTTAAAAATAATACACTGAATTTTACGAGTACTCACTTTCACATTCGAAAATAAGAAGTCAAGTGAGCAAAAAGAAAAAAAAAAAGAGAGAGAGAAAAAAACACGTCTCCTATAGTGTAACGGAAAAATGCGTCAAAAAAAGGATTCCTGAATAGTAAATCTACGCCCACCAGGCGCCACGCGTTTTGTTAGTATGTGAGAAATTCTCAACGTATGCTGATTTTTTTTTTACATATTTAATTTATTTTAGCAAAATAGAAAAATTTAAAACTAATTTTAAATTCACTAATTCACTAATTTAAAAAAAAGTAAATAAACTATTCTATTAAGTTGTGCCTAACATCGATTGTAACCTCCAATTATAAAAACTATCGTCGATAGAAACTACCAAGTGCGCGAAAAACTACCAACTGTAAAAGAACTACAAACTTTAAAAAACTACCAACTGTAAAACTAGATATTAAAATTACCAACTATAGAGAACAATTATAGAAACTAGAATCAATTATACAATTGCCATTAAGAAAAACTACAAACTTTTTGAATTACATTCTCTTAAAACTACCAACTATGAAAGCTACAATTTCTTATAACTACCGTTTCTCAAAACTGCTATGAAAACTCGTTTCTTATAACTACCAGCAATGGGAACTACCGTTTATTAAAACTACTAATTTCCGCCAATTTTAATTGCTATTGTTTGAAACTACCGTTCGTTATAATTACTATTAATTTTAACTACCGTCAGTTGTAACTACTGTCACTTATGACTTTAATTATTGAGAACTATAGAAGTACCGTCAGTTGTAAATACTTATTTTTTGAAACTACTGCTAGTTTTTAATACCGTCAGTTATAATTACTACTGTTTGAAACTACCGTTAGTTGTAATTGCAATCACTGATGACTCGAATTGTTTAAAACTACCTTAACTACTATCATTTCAAAAATTGAGAATTTAATGTACCGTCAGTTGTAATTACCATTGTTTTGAAAGTACCGCTAATTGTAAATACCGTCAGTTGTAATTAATACTATTTGGGACTACCGTTAGCTTTAGCTTTTATCAATTATAAAAACTAATACTAGTCGCAAGAAACATTACACATAACTGACAGTAGTTACAACCGACGGTAGTCATAGCTGATGGTATTTACAACTGACGGTAGTAATAAATTATAGTTGTTGGGACTGACGGTAGTTACAACTGACGGTAGTCATAGCTGATGATATTTAAAACTGACGGTAGTATTAAATTATAGTTGATGGGACTGACGGTAGTTACAACTGATGGTTGCTGCAACTGACGGTAGTAAGAACTGATAGTAGTTGAAACTGACGGTAGAAACAACTGATAGTTCTTGCAACTGACGGTAGAAACAACTGACGGTAGTTACAACTGATAGTTGTAATTGGCGGTAGTTACATCCGACGGTAGTAATTAATTATAGTTGTTGTTGGGACTGACGGTAGTTACAACTGATGGTTGTTGCAACTGACGGTAGTTACAACTGATAGTTGTTGCAACTGACAGTAGAAAGAACTGATAGTTGTTGCACCTGACTGTATTTACAACTGACGATAGTTACAACTGATGGTTGCTGCAACTGACGGTATTGAGAACTGATAGTAGTTGAAACTGACGGTAGAAACAACTTATAGTTCTTGCAACTGACGATAGAAACAACTGATAGTTCTTGCAACTGACGATAGAAACAACTGATAGTTCTTGCAACTGACGGTAGAAACAACTGACAGTTGTTGCAACTCACGGTAGTTAAAACTGTCGGTAGTTTCAAAACAGTAGTAATTAAAATTGACGATACTTATAATTCTTAAGTAAATTTGGAGAATTTTGAGTATTGGCGATTATAATTATAACGTTAGATGAAACTACCGTTCTCTATAATTACCATAAATTGTAACTACTGTCAGTAATAAATGGTAATTAAAAATGAAATTATTGAATACTAGTTTCAATCAGTTGTAATTTCAATTAACGGTAATTATAAACGACGGTACTTATTTAATTATTACTGATTATTGTATTTAACGATAGTTATAAATAGTTGACTTTGAATTCAAAAGTATTTTTTAAAAATGCAAATTTAACGATTAATCTATTTATATTAAAAATAATATAAACCAGAATTTGTGACTGAATTTCTTGCGGAATTGAAGATGATAATTTTTTTTTTTTTTTTTTAAATAACAAAATGTCATATATAATGATTTACGATCGTATCAAAAGATATCCCTATTGATAAAATATGCATATATATCTAACGAAGCGTGTTAGATATCTGCATATCGATTATGTCATTTTTCATGTTGAATGATACAATGTTGCAGTAAGTAGATTTATAATAATAAAAGAGAAAATGGCGCCGAGACATAAGAAAGTCTGATTGCCGGGAGGTGAATTTGCTTTAACGAGTTGGCATATATATGTATATATATAAAGTATTATAACATAAATGTCGTAACAAAACGAACTTTACAACAATGTTCATATACATACACTCGGCATACTTCAAGGTGTCATCGTTCATTTTTTTTTTTTTTTTTTTTTTTTTATTATATAAATCGTTTATTTGACGTTAATTAATAATTTAAAATCGTCTGACCTTTTTCTTGTTTCTCACAGTCTTTTCTATATATAATATTGAAGATCAGAAATTCCTCGTGTTTTTGTTTAATTATAAAATCACATTATTTATTAATTATTATAAAATAAGAATATAAAAATTTAAAAAGAAAAAAAAAACTTTGGAATTTTTTTCATCATTTTTCTAATTAAACGTCAGTTATTGAAGTTAGATTATATATTTTTATTCTTATTTACTTAGAAGTTATTTAAAAACACCTGTAGATAGTGATGATAATTTTTTTTTTTATAGAAAACTTCGTCGTGTTAAAATAGAAAATTGAAGAGGAACTATTAATTATTTCAATCTTTTAGAACGATCTAAAATTTATAATATATGAAAAATGTTATTCTCTCATACCTATATTTAAATAGGTGAGAAAAATTAGATTACAAGGTTAATAGAAATTCAATTATATTTAAAAAAAAAAAAAAAAAAAAAATGAAAATTAATCTAAAACAGAATTTTAATTAAAAAGAAAAAAACGTAAAAAATTGATTTATTTGAAAAATCTATAATAGTTATTGTTTATCTTTATTGTTTGTAGAGCATCATCAGTTCTCTAATTCTTAATTACGTTGAAAATAATTTAAATTTTGCTTCAGTAATTAGTAAAAAAAAAATCGAATTATAAAAAGTAACTAATTTT